TAAAGAGTGACGTAAATGACGGTAGATTGTATATACCAGTGATTAAATGATAAACAGCTCATAAAATTTCAAAACTGTTCTATTGTACCCATTAAATCTTTACCTAATTATCATCATGGTGAATGCAGAACAATTGGTTAGTGACAATGCAACTTCCATGGATGACTGTAATTGCAGCGAAGCTCGTCGATGTTGAGATATAACAGTGATGCAATAATGATTCGCCGAAATACAGAGGGAGAGAGAGTGAGAGAGAGGGAGAGAGTAGTAGCGTGATTGGTAGCTGAGGTGCTTTGTCGATTGATCTGACAATGTCGGGGATGATAGCTGCGAGCAGGCGTACGCGACACGCCCGTGAATTGCGCTATACCATAATGCTAATTAATCCGAGCGTATCCGTCTCTGTTCGGCGCGTGTGCTTTATGGATTAGACGGATTGCCATCGAGAGCAGACCTGTCTATATGAGCTTTACGATGCTATGTTTGCTTGGCTCTTCATTGCGTATAACATGGTTTTTCATGCAAGCATACGAATTATCAACCATTTTGTCGAATGTGTAAGCTTGCAAGCGTGCTCGTTAAAACTGAATCTTTGTCGGTTTATTTACGTTTTGTGTTGACCATTAAAACGCCTGTTTTATTCCAGGCTATTTCGCTCGATCAATGAAAATGGGAATTAAAATTGCAGTACCCTTCTGAAGCCTCAACATGATATATATCTATTTATTGATCCTCACCAATTGTTACGTGTAGAGCAATTGTGAGAATTTTTCTCCAGATCGTTGACATTACAATAAAAATATTCTATATTATTGCTCTATACGGACAGCTTTTTCCGAAATGATCGACAAGACGTGCTATAGGATATCGATACAATAAGTGGTTAAAATCGATATATATCAGCATGACGTGTCACAATATAGTGGGGACATTAAGGGCTTACCACGTATATGCCGTGCAGTAAAATTTACCAATCTCTCGCTTCACTCTACTGACGCATTTCAATTCCCTCAGCTATCGCAGCCCGTCGCAGCCATCACTCTTCGAGCTTTCGAAGTACATCTCGCCAGCTCAGAGAGAGAGAGAGAGAGAAAGAGAGCTTTTGCTTCACGTTATTACACTTACATCGCGCCCAGCCCCTCGAGGATTGAATAGGCCATTTGAGCACCACGGCTTTACTATATGCCTTTGTTTTTTCCTCTTCAACATTTCGATGGCTTTTCGTTTTATTACTCGACCCATTAAGCACACACTCACCTCGCTTTAACTCTCAACGAGTCTCTCTCTCTCTCTCTCTCTCTCTCTCTCTCTCTGTCTTTCTCTTAGTATTTTCGTACTTTCAAGTTTTTACTCAACGCCCGCTTCAAAGCAACATGCTGAAAGCACGCACCAATTAAATAGATTATTCTTTTCGATGATAATATAGAAGCTCAATAAAACTTGCCAGTCATTTTGCGCCAAATACTAAAAGGGTACTCGCTGTGATTAAAATATTGTTAAAAAAATAACGATAAATTCGTGTTTCCAATGTTACTATGAAAACGAAATAAGAAACTTGCATGGGTGTACGTTTCATTGCACGTGCACAAGGTCTCGCTTCTGGTATCCAGTGCGAAAAAAAATTCCGTGAAATTCGCGCGTGCAAGCCGCATCTCTTACATATGCAAAGGTAACCGAAAAGAAAGAGCGAGAAAAAAAGAGAGTCCGAGACGAACAAAAAAGTCATGAGCTTGCCTAAAATATTGCGTGGCATGGAAAAAGGAGTCTTTGTCGGGAGCAACGTAAAACACGTAGGCACCGTCTACTCTTCTCTTGATCTACAAATAATGGTCGGAAAAAAGTCAAAGAATCTTTTCATATTTCTGTTGGAAAATCGTCTTAACGTAAAAAATGATGAAGTTGTTGTGTTCAGTTTCAAGCACGATTAGCTTGAAATTTATCAAAGAGACAGAAGAGCTGTGTAAGCCAAACAGCATGCCGATGATCGAAGGGAACTTTTCCATGAGTTGCTAACAACACGCTACTAACAAATTCACGCGTACGTGGTCGAATACCCTGAAGACTAACTGTGCATTTTTGCGCAGGATCACGCTATGCGCGACTTCAATGCAATAAATCTTGGGTTAACTCGCTCTCGGTCTCATTATCTCAGGGGAACGAAATGCTGCAAGAGAGCTTGTGTATTATCGTTTGGATGTAAGTCATGCAAAAAATTTATCGCCTCGGTGCGTATGCGCGCGCGCGCGTGCCAACAAAAAGTGCCTAAGTGGAAAATCCGCAGGCGCACATATAGCAATTCTACGGGTTTTTATGCGTTAATAAATTTTTCCTCTATCACCGCACGGCTGAGGATCTTTCCTCGTTCGCTCCGCGCGCACACAATCCAATTAAATCTCGGATGTACTTAACTTTGCTTCTTTACGAAGATGAAAGGTATAATAATTGTGATGATGGTGTGTTAATAAGCGAAGAATTTATTCGAGAGCTACAGCAAAAAGGCGTCGAATCAGTTCTTAAATCATAAGGATGAGTTTATTAATTTGAAAAACTTTTCCACGACAAACTTTCTTGCTTATTAAACGGCCGTTACTTCTTTCATTTTACTCATAAACGAGTGCTTTTATTTAAATATACTAAAGGTTCTTTTGCGAATAAGCGCTCCAATCCCAAAAATACAGCCAAGAAATAAATACTTCCTGAGCGTAGAGAATATAATACTTTAGCGAAGGTCGCTAATGATAGGCTATATCCTGTTATTGATCGCGCAGAAAATCCTTTAACTGCTCTTTTCCCCTGCCAACCCTTTAGAAGTTGGAATGAGCGGCGCAAAAGCTGCGATATGCCGAAAAAAAGGAAGCAGCGAGCGAGAGAGAGAGAGAGAGAGAGAGAGAGGCAGTAAACCAAAGGGAAATCCTCTTAATGAATATACCATTAAAAGCGTGAGGCCGTTTGGCGTAATCGAAGTGCGTATAAAAGGCCAATCGGATGATTACGCCAGAACACGTGCATCAATATACACTATATTCAGCGAAAATCCCTCGGTCATAGGTACACATGCACACGCGCGCACCCGCAATAAACGCATCGCTCGGATTCACCTTCGGCTCGTTACGTGTGCGCGTGTGTGGGCAGCGATACCTGCACGGGCAAGCTAGCATGCAGCTGTAAGGTGATCGGCCAACACGCGCGCGCGCAGTGCGCACAGACGTGCGCCCTCGCTGCGGGTACGAAAGGCGCATATCGAGATCCCCGGGCTAATTTACGGCTACACAGCTCTCTCTCTCTCTCTCTCTCTCTCTCGCTCTCTGCACGAGCGAATGCGCCATGGGAACTACGCTACCTTCATCCACCTCCTGACCTTGTTTTCGGATGTTACACGGCGCGTTATGCTTTTCAGTGAAAGTTCGACTGTCTCCATTCTCGCCGCCACTGCCGCCGTCCTGGAGCGCATTCAGGGTAAAAGCGAACGAATCGGGAACCGCGAGAGCCAACTTGTTCTACACTCTTGCTTTTATTTCTGTGCACTGCATCTGCTCCCCGAGCGTGTAGCAAGAGCCCAATGCCATGACTCATTGCAAATCAGCCGGGCTTTACGTGTCTAGATCACTTGGATGTTCATTGATAACGATGCCACGGGCTCGACGCTAATGAGCATTGACTTGCGTACACAAAGATTTCCCATCCGCGCGATTCAACAATGCCCACGCCACTTTCTTCTATTGTTTTCTTAATACTTCTTCTGGCAAGTATGCAGCGCGTGCTCTTCCTTTATTAACATACTTAGGCGCTAGTGTGTGTGTGTGTGTGTGTGTGTGTGTGTGTGTGTGTGTGTGTGTGTGTGTGTGTGTGTGTGTGTGTGTGTGTGTGTGTGTGTATGTGTGCGCGCGTGCATGGGTGCGCTCGCACTCGGAAAAACCAAACAAACAAGCCAAGCATAACGGAGGCAAGAAAACAATGTACATGCTCTCCGAATGCGGAAAAGTCGCTAGCAACATGTACATGTATTTCTTCTTGGTGGAACGAAACGGACATCCTATCCCCCCTCCTTCACTTCCTCGAGCGAAACAACTGTGAAAAGTAGCTGATTCAATTTTCAACGCGAAGTCTTGCAAAGGCGCAAGAAGAGGTGAACTTCGATATGGCTAACGATTTTAACTCTTCTCCGTGTGTTGACTTTTGCTCGGGAAAGTCGGAGGCTAGCTGTCCGTGGGAATTAAGGGCAGTGAGAAATTCACGCCTGATCGCCCGACAAATCCTGATCGAGGCTTGTGATAACGCTCCTCTGGAAACCGACCGAGCTAGCAGCTTTAATTGCCTAAAAAATTGCAGCTACCTCGTAACTCACTATATGTCTGTGTATGAGCGTGCGCGCGTGTACATTGCCCGTGCTCTGATGCTTCCACGGCAAATCGAATTTCGCAGAAAACATGGCGCATCGAATTTTTTGCGGGACAAAACTGTACAAATGTTCATCTGTTCAATTGTTGCAGAAAAATGTATGAGTGACTTAACGGTATTTGACCGACAGAATTGTTTTGTTCTACCGTAATTGAATTGGACAATAAGTCATTGCAAATCATTTGAAATGATGCAGATGGCAGAATTAACGATGTATTAGGACTAAATCAATGAAATTTTAAACATTGCATGAATGTTCGGGAGATAGTTTTCTGTTGTAATTGATTGTCAAGGTACCTTGGGTATATCTGTGATAATCAACCTGGTGAACTAGAATCATTAAAAATTGCAAAATGAAAATGAATAATAAATCGTGTACCCGTGCGTTTTCTTCTTCACACTTTATATATTCAAGATAGCGTGCGATATTGAAAATCCTTCAATCGAAAGGAGACTCGCGAGAATTCCAGATTACCAGCGAGCAGACAATACGGAAATCTCAATAATCTTTTCACGCGAGTTGAACTACAGCGTCTATATTCGAATACTGAACAATCCGATCGGGCGCAGATTCAACAGACTGTGTTTTTCTGATGTTACAGGTGAGGACGTAATACTCGGAGGTACAGGTAGACGCGAGCCTGCTTGGCGTTCGGTGAACGGTTCCAGTTGTCGCGCTCAGGAAGGTTCAACGCAAGCGAAGAGACCACGGCATCCAGCTCCAACACCACCTTCGACCAAGGAGAACAAAGAGAACCAGCATGAGCCGCCGAAAACCGTAGACGGGCCTAAGCCTGCCGCTAGCGCCGCCGTCGTCGCGGACATGGGCGCCAACCTCAGCAGGCACAGCGGCAAGGGCCTCAATGGCAGACGAGCTCAGTCCTCTGGCAACTTGTGCGATCCAAAGTGCATCGCCATCGGTCGGCGACTTGCACCAAGGAGCTCAAGGGAAAAGTATGTTATTTCATAATTTCTGTTTGATTATCTCATTATCGAGTATCGATAGTGAACCATGAATATTTTAACGCGTCAATAGGTTGCACCATATTGAATTTAGTAATTAAACTAGAAATTTTATTGGACGATCATTGCGCATATCCCTTCATTTTTTTTCATCGATGTGTGCGGAATGCGTAACATTTAACTATTTTAAAAATACCGTAAAAATGATGAATTATTCATCGATTAATGCTGGAATCCAATTGAACAATGACATTCCGAAACTGAATTGCGCAAGAAGCTGCTATATACGTAGGAAAACCGCAGCGTCGGTAGCTTTGATTGAAGGTTCAATTTTAACAGAAATAAAGCAATACGGAAAGAAGAAGAAAGCAGTGGCAGCAGCATCATTGCCTGAAAAGTACTCGGAAAGTATAGTCGTTCACTCGAAACAAAGTCTATAAAAGCAAAGACGGATAATAGGTCAAGAACAAGGATGACGCCCTTGCGCGAAGAAGCCTCGGTGTCTCTTACGTCAGAGCTTTTCTCCTCTCTCTCTCTCTCTCTCTCACGGCTTTACGATCCTTTGCACTGGCGGCTTATCTCCTACGCAGCGCATAGTTCCTCTCTCACGTTTCTTGCATCTCGCGCTCTACTTCCTGCACGCTCGTTCGAGAATAAATTGTCCGTAGCGAGCGAACTCACACACCACATACGTGCAGCGTGAAGGATCCCCGAAGTAGGCTACGCGCAGCTGCAGCTACGATACATCTCGCCAAGGTGCTACCTTTGAGATACGAGTTGCTCTTACGTCATGCTCGTTACATTCTTTATCGTCCGGCAACTTTCAAGCAAATCCCCGTGCCGAGTGTTGCTCGGCCGTCGAATTCGTGCATCGGCAAAGAAAACTGATCGCCAAACAATTGCCTAACGAGTTTCTGAACTGAGCTACGAGGATCCGTTAAATCTCGTTTCATCTAGCAAGCAAAGCGCAAATGACGCCGGCGCATCCTATTTACGCGGAATGGGACGTCGAGGAAAAGGCGCGCTAATTCCGTGCAACTGCGCGACATCTTGTATAATTGAACTGGAGTGAAACTCGATGCTTGCTCCGATCAGAGAACGGCGGAACAACAAGGATGCGAACGATCGAGCGAGACTTGCAATTCATCAGCGCGCTTTTATATGTGCCGAAGCAACTATGCGGAAATCGATTACTCGCGCGCGCATTCCCGAGGAAACAATACGTATCGTCTCCGCTATTCGTCTAGTCGGATAGAATGCGCCCGTGCGGACAGTGGCGCAATCGATGCGATAGCGTTGAAGAAGGCTGCGGTCCCGGGCTGATTAGAGATAATCGGCGATCGGTGGGAAAATAGGCGTTCGATTATTCGCATAAACGGTTGGGACGCGGGGCGCCTCCGCTGGGTGTGGTGCTCCGGCGATCGAGCGAGCTTATCGCGGGCGCAAGCACGGTGCTCGCTCGGCGGCGGGCAAGCGGAAGCTCGCGAGCGGAAGCGGGCCGTAATTAAAAGCGCCGCCGGACGCTCCTCTGCCGCGACGCGACGTTTGCATACACTCTTGCGTCCGGAACTTTGCAGCCCCACCGCCGAGCTTTCAATCCATTAATCCTGCATTAAGGTTTCGGAAATGGCGCCCGCCTTGGCTGCCGCCAAGCTCGCTAACCGCCAGCGCGCGCTGACACGAGTTGCGATCGCGAGCACTCGGAACGACTCGACTATTTTCGGCGAGCAAACTGTTAGCGCGCTTTAATTCAGTTAGTAAGGCAAGCGGCGGCCACGTACGGCCTGATATTTCAGGCCAGTCGCTCGGTAAATACAGGCTGCTGGGGGAATAGCAATGCGCGCGTTGTATAGCGGAGCCCTGCCGCGGAGCGCAATCTCGTGCCTTTATTGGCAGCGGGGTCCGGCGGCACGAGCGAGCCATTGAAAGTTCACGTGCCAAGGTGCGAACTGCACCTTTCTCCTCCTCGCGCGCTCCTTGCGCCCGGCCCCGTAATATCGGTTCTGTGCACGTAGCCCGCGCGCGCGCGCCCGCCGTACATCCACAGCGCCGGCCTCACCTCGGGAAAAGCCCTTTCCTGTGCTAGATCCTGTGCTAGACGCTGCTTTCGTGCCTGCCGCCGTCAAAATGCATCTTTAATGCATGCAAAGCGTGCGTGCGGCGTGTACACCTTCGTTTCACATGCCGGACCTGGCGCGACTACGACTTGCTCCGTCAAGTTCGCGTCTCCGCGGGAAATCAAGGAGCTCGGAAATTTTCTTCGAAATCCTCAATGGCAACCGGACGGACGCAATTCCTGCGGAGCATCCAAGGAAACTTCAGCTCACCGCAAAATCCATCGGCGAATACCTTGAAAATCCCGCCGATAGCATTTCACGAAATCGAGCCTCGAGCGCGCGTCTTTGCGCGCAGCTTGAAATTTTAATGGCTTAGCCGCGGTCTAAATCACGGCTCCGTGGGGGCGTGTTGGCGGCGCGCGAGCGCGAAAAGTTTGCCGAAGAGCGGGGCGCGGCGCTTAACGATACAAATTTCGAAACCCACCCGCGCACCTCACAGTCGCTATAGGCTGAGAATATTAAACGGAGCCGTTAATCGCCGCTCGGCTGCACGCGATCGATCGAGATGCAATTATTATCATCGGCCGATCTTTCTCATTGCGAGTTTCGTCCTCGCTCGTCAATCAAATTCACTCTCCAGCTTGCGGGCAGCGCCCGACGAGCAATCCATTTGATCAAGTCGGTGCATTAAATACAGGCGGAAACCGAGCCCCACTGGATTAAAAACCAATGTCGCGGCGAAAAGAAAAACGTCGCAGTAGACGCGAAATCATGCCAATATCAGATTTCACAGGGACGCCAGCGACAAAGCGCCGTTAGAGAGGCTGCGCGCACAGCTGCACAAGTCAAAGGCCGTAGGTACTCTCTCGTGCTCAGAAGAAATGTCGTGGTGCAACTTCCGGGGCCTACTCCAGAAAAATAGAGAGCTCGGAGCTCTTCGAGGAACGGCTGCTGCTGCAGGCGAGTCTGATGAAAAGAAATGTCCAATGAGCGCTGCGCGCGAGGCAAAAGCCAGATCCCATTTCCAGTTTGAATATTCCGTAAAAGACAGTCCAAATGAGATGGCGCGTCTCTTGTTACTCACAAGCGCGCGGCAACCGACGCTGTCAGCGTTCTAGTGTTAATAATGAAACGTAATCTTGAATTTTCAAAGCTCGTCCGCTTGCTGAAGACTCGTGTTTATATTTTAGCCGTTTTGAACCGTACGTTCGCGCGCTACAGTGATATGTCGCGCTAAATTTCACTGGAAAATCAAAAAGTAGTTTTGAAAGGATGTTTTGAAACAATTTAGTTTTTGAGCTACTGCTTCTCTGTTGCTCAGCTTGTCCAACTCTGATCTACCTCAGCGTGCTCTTCGGCACACTTGATACTTTCTAATATTCTTGTACGCACAAATGTGCTGCAGCTTTGGAATGTTTCAAGACCACTTCAAAATAATACATGTTTCTTTTGTTAAAGCTAATCGCCGCCGAAAAACAATCACAGAATAATGTAATCAATCACGACCGAAGTTAAATTATGGCTATCGGTAGCTGAATTGATGGAGTCATTTGTTTTTTGCAGTCGTTACAAACTATGTGGCTCGCTTCCGAATCACCTCGATGGCAAAAATTCTCTGGACGATGAATCGCTGGACAACAACAACATTATTACCGACACGATCAGCGGCAATCTTGGAGGTACTTTGCCACACAAGAAGCGCTACGCCGACGGAGACGACTCGAACAATACTTCGAACCTCGTGAGACATCGCTCGGAGGAGTCGCTCGAGGGCGATCCTTGGAAGTAAGCTGTGATACGCGTCACTCGGACACGTTTTTAAGAAACGTTGCTTTATTGTTTTTTTTCCCACGGCGAAAGAGAAAGCGATGAAGGCCTCGCTTCCGTTGCAACGAACTTCGCGCGAGAGAAAAGTTCCAAGCTTGCGTCAAGTTTTAATTTTTCAAAGCCTGACCCGGTTCACGCGTGAGTTGGCGCACGTTGATCGGCGAAAAATAATGAACCCAGTAGACCAAATGAGGCAAGATGAAAAAAAAAAATGAATAACGCATAACAAGCTCTTGGCCATTGCTATGAGGATCTTCTCGTTTTATTCGATGTCATGCCTGAACAACTTTGCCAGCGGCCTCATTGATGAAAAAGTCTATCGTAACTTTCTATGCGGTTACTTCTCACGCCGACTTATTTTATGTTTTTGCTTTTAGCAAAATTAAATTTCAAATCGACCAGCCTTCATCCATTAGATAATTGATGTAATATCGAAAAGCGCGTAATGAATACCAGTGGGCTGTGATATAATTATTTATCAGTAACGAAAATGTCGCAATCAAGCTTGAAATTAACGCTTGAAACGTACTACTAGTTGATGAAAGATCCGCTGATAAATTAGCATAGTTATTACGTGTAATACAGGCGTTTGGAAAGCCGTCTCATCCGAATGACTGATGATTACCAGGTACCGTCTAGAGGGTGCCGACTTGGCGCGCTGTCGTTACGCCGAGTCGCTGCGCCGAAGTCGTGGTTCTGACGCAGGTAGCACGTGTAGCCATCACCACCACCATCACCATCATCATCATCATCACGAGTGGCGTCGCAACTCGAGCACGTTGTCGCGAAATGGACGCGCACATCGGAGTGCCGAACTGGACACCTCGGGCACCTTGCCCAAACGCAAGGATTCGCTAAAACGCAGCGTGCACTCGCTCAAGGAGCTCGGTGATCAACCCACGCGCGCCAGCCGTATATCCATCGATCAAATCGATGACGATCTTCTGCTCAAGATGGTGCACAAACCCGACTGCGAGCTCGTCAAGCATCGCCAGCAACAGAATAACGAGCAAAATAATCAAACGAACACGGTGAGTTGCTTCTCCTGATTGGCTAATTAGGTTTTGTTTCTCTTAATGAAAATATTGGTAAAAACATAGTGATCTGCAATTATACGTTAATTAAATCAACCAAAGAACTAGCGTGTATGAATCGGGCGAATGCAGAGGAGAAAGAAAACTTGTGTCTGTTATCTAGCCGCAGAAGCAGCCAAAGCAACAGCAGCAGGAACAGCAACCAGCGTCAACACACAAGCCACTCCAGCAGGGAAAGTGCGTGGATTTGAAGCTGCACAAACTGACGGCAGGAGGAGAGCCGCAGGATCAAGGCTACGCGTCGGAGAGATCACCGGAGGATGAGCATCCGCCATCGTTGCCAGGGCAACCTTTTCCTCCAGTCTCGCCAGGTTCGTTTATCCCCACAACTGGAGCTCATCGTCCAATTGACGCAAGCGATATTCCGCACTGCAATTAACGCAATTCGCTTCTTGTCGGCCTTCCCCGTGCGATCGAACCTAATTAGCACAAATAATATTCTAGCTCAGTGTGTCGCCAGACAAGCAATGCGATGCAGATGAAAACTTCACGTATGCGCGACGCAGCCATTGTTTTATTCTCGCAGCGCGGACTTCTTGCGCCCTACTGAACAAATCCATTCAAATATCAGTCAATCTATTGACTTGCTCATCATGCCCGCCGCAGCCGAGCCGTACTTTTGCATTTACGCCAGCCCGTATGCGAAACCCGAGACACACGCGTACACGCGCGGCGAGAGCGTTTAATAAAAGACATAATGCGGAGTGTAGCGTGCGCGCTGAAACGATTTTCGCTCCGCGACGCATGCGGAATGAATGCAGTTGGGTTCGTTAATTACGGCGAAAGAAAGAGATGCGGGACACTTGTTTGGCTGCTCTCTGCAGCGGCGCGTATAATTTTTTAATCCCGCGCGCTCTCGCGCCCGCTTCACGAACGCGCCTTTTTGTTTTCAATTACAAAAAGCTTTAATCGAATTTCGTATTGTTGAGCTCATTCGCCTTCCCACCCTCATTTATTCTCCAAGCGAATCGCGTTTCATACATCACTTTTTCGCTCGTTAAATGCGGTTAGTTTGCCCCCCTCCCCTTCCTTTTTTTTCAAGTTTTTCAACGAATTCTGCTCGTGCTCTTTGGTTTGAATATTCTCGTCACTTTAATATTTTTGCACTTGAGTCTAAAGCAGTGAGCCATCGTGGGCCGCCTAGTGTTAACACTAGATCCTCGGTTGATACTGTTAAATGTAAAATGTGGTCGACACAGAGAAAGTGATTTACTTTTATTTTCCTTCGTGTACATCTATATATTTTTATATTTAATGAATGAAAGCGATTAAAGTATTATGCACGTGTGTAGCATAAATTATTTATTTTTATAACGATGTGAGAATACAAGACGTTGTTATCGCGTACTTTAAGTGAGTTTAACCAATTATTAAATTCATATTCTATCGTATAATACGAGCTCGTGATCGCCATGCATTGGGCACCGGGTAACGTTTATTTCTATCAGTATATGAAAGACAACCATCACCTCGTAAAACTGAAAAACTAATAACTACATTATGCCCTATCCGGACATTAATTCGCGACTCGTGAAATCTGAAATCACAATTAACCTTCGTTCATTAAGCGATTCGTTATGTCTTACCAACACCTTTCAAGCTCGGGTTATATTTCACGGAATATAATGGAAGAAAAATATTTTCGGTATAAAGTAACGCAGAAAAATGACATGCAATTGATATTTCAAACATTTTTGGATCGATCGTCGGAATTGCGCCTCAGCTCTTGGCGCGTGCGCGCTCGTATGCATCTGGCGACGACGAAGACACAAGTCTTCGAGGAACTTCAGACGGATTTCAAAGTGTAAGTCAGCTGAAAGCCTGCGCCGACAGCATTCGGGCGTCGCGCGCGCACTGCCAATAAAGCTCGCAGGGCCCGATAAAAGCTCGCGTGCACTCGCACGCCGGCGCCTCGATCAAGATCTTGGATAGTAACGACGAAGACGACGCTCGCGCCCGCCTATTCGAGCCGCGTCAGAGTAGTGGTTTTATGAGTCGTTAACCCGGTAACTCTCTCTCTCTCTCTCTCTCTCTCTCTCTCTCTCTCTCTCTCTCTCTCTCTCTCTTTCTCGGCGAGGGGATCATTTCAAAGCCGCCCAAGCTGCGTCTTCTTTTGCTTTCGCTTTCTTGTTTTAGCCTCCACGTGAGCTTAGACGCTCGCCGGAAAGCACCGGCGCGCGAGACGTCTGAGCTGTGAACGAGACAGCCGAGGAATACACCACTATAGGCTACTCGTCAAAGCCATTATATTGAAAACCCAAGTGCTTATCCTTTTTAACTCTTTGCCTTCTTGAGCAATATCAGCCGAACCTTTTGTTCTTTCATCAATTTGTCCCGTGAGTAATTAAAATAACAAGCGACGGAGTTTACGGCATTGACGAAGCGATCTGAAATGACGAGGGACCAAGAGTGAGTCGAGCCAGTTGAAAAGATTGTGCAGCATTTAAACGTACGTTTCGACGAGCTACTTAATAATGTTAAATCTCTGCGACGACCGGAAGGACGAGCGCATATAGCAGCGCAAACTTTTCCAGTTACAAACAAGCCGACCATTTGCTGGGTCCCAATAAAGCCTAACAGTTAGATTTTGCGCCGGCATCTCTCCGCTTTAATTCTTATCCATTGCGAGCCTTCGAACTGGCCGCGAACTCGGCGCCTTTCAAGCGCAACGACGTTCTTGGTGAAAACACGCGTAATCGCCAGCGCGCTGCAGTTACAAGCAGGCCAATTCGGCAAGCAATCGCGATAATTAAGGATCTGGCAATAATTAAGCATAATTAAGCTGAGCCGTGTTGTATTTGAAACTGTAAATTCAGCTGCGTAATTATCGTCAGCAATGCCGTGTAATGTATCGAAAACGCTTTCAGCAATTTTGCGAGACAAAGGGTGGCATTATTCGAGTGCTCGAATGTTCGGGACGAGCTGCCGTATTACAGACACGTACATGCGCTTGGAAAGCTCGAGTTACCTGACTAGTCTATTAGCCTCTACATACGTATATACGTTTATATACATATATCGACGAGCTGGGCTAATCGATAAACTATATAACATCGGTCGGCAGCCGAGTCAGAGAGACGCGTGCGTGCAAAATCAGCTCGTGTCCTAAATAAGAGAGTGCCGGCTGATTATTTTCAATTAAACACCCTGGGACCGATTATACTTTGGGGGATTGCAATGGGGAGAGACGGAGTTGTGGATGCTATGTGTATTCATTATCGCATCCGATTCGATCATTTCGTTTATCTGGACTGATCGCTCGATAATGATTCTTCATTTTACAGCTTCTGCTTCGTACAAACAATAATTACCGAGAAATATCGTGCTGAATATAAGACTTCTCGTGAATGACCGGGTTCACCTAGCCAAGCTGCTGGTTTCTGATCACAAATACGTTATGCTCGATGTTGATGATTAACTTAAACATTACAGCGCGATTCATTGTCGCTTTCGAACTAGCTATACGCGAACCCAGCTCGAGATTGCGCTTTGCTTACGTATGATTGAAAGATTTCATCTACGATCATATATCTGCGTATCAGAAGGTCGATTGAGTGATCTATCAAGTGCAGATAAATTGTCGGTATAAATGAAGGCAATTTGTCGGGATCTTGCAGTAAGTTACTCGTAAATTGATTCGCAGCAGCGAACTTTGAGTGGGTTTTTTTACTCGCGCATTACCGAGCAAGATTTATTCTCGGTAACATGCGAGTATTCCATTTGGCCTCGCATAGAGAAATAAAGCCGTTCGGTCTCGTAAATAAAGCGTATATATCCGCACGAACAAATATCAGTTTGGACACTCGATCATATAAGACGCACCATTAAACGCACCGGCACAAATGTCTATGAAAGTCTGAGCGTGCAGATCGCAGATCCGAGGCGATCGAGGAACGAAGAGAGAAGCCTCGGCGATAAATCCGCGTAACAGGGCTCTATTTTTCAGCGTATTAATAATTGATGCGAAAAAAAAGAAATCGTTATCGCGGATAAGGATCGGTCGCGCGCGCGGAACCCGCTCGATTCATCAGACGCGAGTATATACTTGCCACGAGCTAACATCGCGCTCATGACGGATGGCGCCGCTACCAGCGCGGCGAAAATCTCGTAGCGGCTCTTTCTCTCTTATCTCTCCTGTAAACGTGCCTCCGTGTCTACTTTTCCGGCTTGGCGTATCATTTGCAAGTTCATATCGCGCCTGTTCTTTCATCTTCGCGCGCACGCTCGCTTCGATTAAAACGGCATACCCGTTATGCAGCGCCGACAATTATATTCGCTGGTAATTAAGACACATCACGAGCGCTCGCGTCTGCCTCTTCCTGTTTCATCGTCCTGCTTAATGGATCATTCCGAATGAGACATTACTTCCTTTTGCCACTGGCAATGTAGAGTTTCGATTCTTTTTTTTCTCTTTTTCTTTCTAGCTCCAATGCAGCACGGCTTTCTTAATTCAACATTATCATTCGCACTTTGATACGAATAATTTTTGCAATTTAAAAAGTAAGCATTAATTCCTGACCAACTTTTGCCGAGTTTCGAAATAGGATGTACACCTTCCGATATTTTCGATTTCATCAATCTATAATATTAATAGGATCTCATATAATATAATAGGACTCAAAAATGTTTAAAATTTAAAGTCGCTCAATCATTTTCATGGTTTTTAGGAATTTGATAAAGCACGTACAACGATAACATTTTCATTTAATTTCAAATTCAAATTCTACGAATTCACATATATCAAAAACCATACCTTGGCTTTTTTTCAATGTTAAGCTTTCAAAACTTTAACACTCAATAAAAAAACTCCTCGCTGTGACAAAATTATAAAACTGACATATTTACGCCAAAATTGCTATTCCCAAAACTTTGCAGAGAACGAAGTTTTGTGCGAAAACTAAACCAATGTAATTTTTAACATTGTAGAGTTATAATAATTCAAAATTAGATTAATACTATTGTTGTAGGTTTTATTATTAAATAAAAAAACTATAAACAAATTCATAAAATATAATTTTTAAATGGAAGTCGCCATTCTAAAGTAATAACGGTGAAAAATTAAAAGCACCCTTATAATTTGGTGGGAGTGCTATTTAAATATTCAAAGAAAGGAATGGACTATATGCATTGAAATTTATTATGTGTAAGCCAGAATTCTGTGAATAATTTTTTTCGTGGAATTCAATGCAGACACTCCTGCAACTAATTATTTTATACTGAAAAATATCGATAATTAAATGCAGCCTCTGATGCATATCCCTTTCTCAATAATAAATAATATTGAATGTTAATGAAACAGCGAAGCTGATTC